GAAGACGTCTTCTGATTCGATGAAGTTAAATTATGATAAGAGATCTACTGAAGTCAGCTTTGTACCAGGAGACAAGGTGTGGTTGTATAATCCCAGGAAGACCAAAGGGAAGTCTCCTAAGTTGTCTTCTCCATGGGAAGGCCCATGTGACATAATGGATCGTCTCTCAGACGTGACTTTCCGGGTAAAGTGTGGTCGGCGAGGTGAGCCAAAAGTGGTGCATGCCAACAGGCTTTGGCGTTGTCAGGGTCCAGGACATTTCAGTTGGGACGAAGTGAACAAAGGAACAAATGACGCTGCTGAAGAGGTGTCACCTGAAAAGGCCAACGTCTAAGAAGAAACTCTACTCAGTTTTGAGAAGGGAAACAATGAAGCTTTTGATGAAGCTACTACCACTGATGTGAGTATTATCGACGATAGGACATTTACTGATGAAGCAGATGAACCCCACATGAAGCGGAAGCCAACGGGACGAGACCAGTACGGAAGAAGATACGTCCCGTAAAATTAAGATACTTTATTGAATTGTAATTTTGTGATTGTAATTCTGTACATTTAATTAAGTTATTGTTAATTGTTATTGGTTTATTGTAAGTGGCTATTGTTCGGGACGCTGACGCAACACTGCCCCCTCCTTAGTATTGTTGATGTGTAGTATTAAAATTATGTATCTGTAGAGCGTAATATTAAGACTGTGTAGTATTAAAATTATATATTTGTAGAGCACAATAAATAAGTATTAACAGAGCTGCATATTTATATACATATCTGTAGAATTTCACTGTTTGAATGAAACCAAAATTGTATAATCTTACTGTATAGGCACTTATTTCATATGTTTATTAACAGTATTTCATAATACTCAAATGATCAATGTTTTGAATTGTGTTCTTTAAAAAATGTTGATCCTTTTAATTATTTGTAGTAACTTCATTTCAGCAAGTGATCTAAATTGATCTCTAATTTTCACCTTAAGTGAAAGTCTATAACTTTGTGAAGAAGGTTGTTTTCTTTATGAAAGAAAAAAAAATTAGCTGCTTGTTTTATTTGTATATGTTAGAGGAAAGAAGATTTATGAGCCACCTCGATACATGTCAGCGGCTCAGGCAGCTCGGCAGTTACTCGAAATTATCCAAAAGAAACGAGTTGAAGGCTGTGAAGACACTGAGCTAGGTAAGCATGTTAGCAGAGTTCTTTGTGTTTTTAATAAATAAGTTCCAGTGTGACAGTTCTTTAACTCAATCTAATTAATTTTAATATTGCCAGAGAAACTTAACCATTTCATGTAAGGAGTAGCATCTTTATTACTATTAAGCATATGTAATTCAGTGTTTCAACATTTTATTTTGGTTTTCTACAACTTGTAGCAACAGGTAAAACAAAAATAATTTTAAAAAATTAGCCACAGTGTAATAAAATCTTACCTTTAATTCTCTCAGTTTTATTTCCTATTAACAGTTTATCATCACAGGAATATCAGCTAATTCTTATCTTCTTCTGGGCTAATTGAAAGAAACTTCTGTTGGCATAAGTTAGAAGTAAATTTTGTAATAGTGACAGTAGGTCTAATTAACAGTGATACAGATTATCTAGGTTTAAATCTTCCCTCAACTCTGTTTCAAAAATGTTCCTGCAGTTAGATATAGTTACTAGGTAAAACTGGATTATAAAAATGCTTTATGTTTAGTGAAACTAGGTGCTCCTGTTTAACAAAAGTTACAAGATTCAAGTTTAGGAAATCAAATCTTGTTTCTGAAGGCCAAGAGAAGTATAAAGAGATTTGTATATTGAGTTGTAAATTTGAAAAAAGGATTGATATATTTAAAGAGTTGTTTAAGAAGTTACACTTAACTACAGCAGGATAGTTATTGGGTACTAATTATTGTATTTCTAAGCTGATCAGAAAGTGAGTTACTGATCCACTGGGAGTACGAGCTACAGAGTTAATCACAAGAAGGTTGAAATCTACAACTTGTGTTTCTTTTTTTTTCAGCTTACACGGAGAAATCTGTTTGTGTAGGTTTGGCAAGGGTTGGATCTGATGATCAACGGATTGTTGCTACAACTTTACAAAAAATGACAACCACAGATCTGGGCCCACCTCTTCACTCTCTAGTGATTGCTGGTCACTTACATCCCCTTGAAGTTGAAATGTTGACGTTGTTTACAGATGATTTAACTTTGTTTGAGAATGTCGTCTTGTTATGAGTTCTAATGACTGAAAATAGTGCAAAAATTAAATGTCAACATGTGTTATAACAATTTTGAACAGAGTATTATTCCAACAATCTTGTAAGATACCATGACAAAGAATCATAAAAAAATGAAGTAATACATTCTTTTATATTTTAGTTTTGCATAATTAATACATTTCATTTGAATGTTACAGTCCAGAGATTGTAAGAGCAGCATTATTGTATTTGTGACACCCTGTGTCTTTGTCAGATCTTCGTATAAGCAGTTTTCTTTCACCAATTACTGAGTTTTCTTGAGTGATAAATTTATACAATAGCTAAATACCATGACTATTTCAGATTTTTGATAACAAAAATGTCCCTTTTATTTCCTGTTAAGAAATGTTTATCTGGATTTATTTTAATGATTATAAATGACTACAGCATGAAAATTCAAAGAGAATATGAATTCATAATCTGAAGAAATGTACAAACTCGCAAGATAGAATTTTTGGTTAATAAACTGTTCTGAGATATTTGATTTTGAAGAAATGTTTTGTGGAGAAGAAATGGAGCTTTCTGGAAGAAATGATACTTCAGGCTGGAGAAAGAATTTGATAAGTTGCTACTACCAATTGAAATATTTGATATAATTCACAAGCTTTATTAGATTACAATCTTATTTCAAAGAATGAAAGTGCCCATGATCCTGTCCTATATACAACAGGTTTATCCTTCCCTGTAAATGATTGTAACTTAGACTTGGAAGAATTCACAAACATGACTCTAGATTGAAAATATCCAGCACTGTTATAACTTTTGTTCTGCTTGCTTTACTTAGAAAATAATCAAAACAGGTGTTTGTTTGTTTTTAGCTGCAATAAGGCACATCCTTCTTCTTAGCATTTATCATAATTACTTGGGTTCTGCTTTTCTGGTTCTTGCTTTTCACTCCTTTTTATTCTGTGTCAGAGCTACATTCACACTGCATTTTCAAGCTAGTATTAGCTATAATAAGTCACAACCACAATAATAAGATATCAACTATCCTCCCTCAAATCAGGAATCTGATTATCTGTCATGTAATCTGAAATACAAACTATATTTACTTCCAATTATATGACCTCTGGTGGCTCATCGGTAAATCTGTGGAATTATAACACTAAACATTGGGTTTTGATAGCTGTGCTAAGCACAGCACAGATAGCCCATTGTATAGCTTTGTGCTTAATAACAAACAAAATCCAATTATTTAATATTACTCAGATAAATTTGAATAATTATATATGACTGCAGTGTGAGAATGGTAAGAATATATAAACTCATAATGTAATTGTGTGAAGACACGAATCAGAAGGGAAAACTTAGTTCCAGTTATCACCGTTTTTTTAAATTCATATACAAATATCTTTTAACTACTAACTTAAGGCAACATCAACAGTTTAAAAAATTTCAAAAATTATTTTAGTCTCCTAAGTTTTAAAGCCAACATGAAATTGTGGTTAAAAGACACTTTTCTTTAATAATAACCCATTGGTTTTCAAGGTATATTAATTTACAAAATATTCCTGAGTTTTCAGATAAAAGCATAGTACTAAATGTTTCATGATATTGCAAGCCAACACAATTCCAACAACTATTAAATCATTCACAGTGTAGAAAACGTGCAATCAATATTTTTAGTAGCAAAACATGTCTTCTTTCTTTACTTTTTACTGTCCCTCAAATGTCCAGTCACCAAATCCTTTAGGCCTGGCATGGCTAGGTGGTTAGGATACTTTACTCACAATCTGAGGGATGTGTGTTCAAATCCCCATCCCACCAAACATGCTCACTCTTTCAGCTGTGGGAATGATATAATGTGACAGTCCCACTATTTGTTGATAAAAGAGATGCCGGTGGGTGGTGATGACTAGCTGCCTTCCTTCTAGTCTTTCATTGCTAAATTAAGGATGGCTAGTGCAGTTAGACCTTGTGTAGCTTTGCATGAAATTCCAAACAGACAAATAAACCAAATTGTTTTAGTGGCCTTTGTTTCTATGGGAAGTTCTCTTCAGGTAGGTGTTTGAGGGAATCTACTGATAACTTCATCCTTTAAAACGGTCTTGACAGGACCATTGGGATCTTCACCAGGTTCCTTTACCTTTGGAAAAGCCTTCTTTGAAGTTAATCAGTTGACTGTTTTTGCACTGACACACTTTCAAAGATAATCACAGTAGATGATCTTTGGTTTGGACCACCTGTTCTTTGTTTGAAGTTAATCGGTTGACTGTTTTTGCACTGACACACTTTCAAATATAATCACAGTAGGTAATCTTTGATTTGGACCACTTGTTCTTCTGGACTGTATCAACTGCATCATTTATTATTTTGATTGTATCAGTATCAGAGATTTTTACTTGATGTAAAAGTGCCACCAAATTTTTTACAAGTGAAACTACTCGTATATGTGAAACTAAAATGCATAGTGCCCTTTCATTCAAACTTACAAGTACAAAAGTAATAGTTCCCAGGTGTGTTAGTGAGCATTGGACCGACCTATAATGCAAAAAATCCAAGAGTCGATTGCCCTCTCTGGACAGAGTACAGCTAATCTATGTATAGCTTAGCGCTAAGAAAACAACGACCAAAATAGTAATAGTTTCTACATACTAGTGATAAAACAAGACAGATTGTAAATGTAAGTGGTTACATTTTTCTTTGATAGAGGGCACTAAGTGAGAGGAAGGCCAGGCATGACGTAGCTTCGAATAATTGTTTGCAGCTCCAATTCTCTTCCAGACAGAACTGCCGCCGAATTAGGCAGTATCGTAATCTTGAAATATGTATATAACGAAACAAGTGCACTGAGTAACATTTCCAAAGGTTGAAACCATCGCAGTCGCATGTTGGCGAATCTTCTAACTACGCATCAGTTGACATTATCTCCAAATCTTATTTAGTTACATATAGAAAAGTTTAAAAAATAGTAATTTAGAATAGAATAGTGACGTGTATGAGTCGTAAATACTTCGCATATATTAATTAGTGAAGTATTTATTTTTACATAAGGAGTGCTCAGCAAATAATTGTTATGAAATGTATACGAAACTAAAGTTTTAATTCAAACAACAAATATAAAATATGTTCGGAAGAGTAAGGTAACTCAAAATTTCCCAGAAGGACAGCGACATATATTGTGACTGCCTCTAATAACGTTTATTATCTATTTTCCGAAATCCCGTTTTTGTTGTACATATAGTAAAACATTTTCATATTAAAATGCCTTTTCTACCATTCACATAACATTAATTAAATCAAAACGTTGAGAGTGTGACGTATATAATATGAATATCTATAACTGCAGGAAACCTTGCTAACATCACTCTTATACCCATAGGTGAAATATGCTGGCACTCGTCATTATTCAGGACTTATTTGATCTGCTTTTTGTCCAACTCACATATCATCTATCGCAGTGCTTCTCAACTAGGTGAATGGTTCACCCAGAGGTTAATGAGACCAGAATCGGGGTGAATGAGTATTATCAATTATACAACAAATTGAAGAGCAAAAAAAAAAGTGATTAATTATTATTATTTATTCTAGTTGTAGTTTGATAAATATATTTATTTTATGTTGTCTTCATTCTAGTCGTATTTTGGTGTATATTGAAGTCATAATAAATAATTTTACATTTTAATTTAGTACTTTTTTGTCGAACTGGGGTGAGTGAGGTGTTGTGAAAAACTTATAGGGGTGAATGATACTGGAAAATGTTGTGAAGCACAGACAGAAGCAAACACGTCACCACTTACAGAATCAAAAAAATTATTGAATATTCTTTAAAAACCATTAAACGACCTAATGGCATTAGTTCTTGTTGGCATGCATGAGGAGAAATCGCTTAGCATCTCTGACGCTAATCATTATCAAACCAATCAGATAATAATTGTATTTTCTTTCTGTTTATTATATTGAATCAATCGACTATTATCTGTATTCATGATAATTCCATATCATTAACGACAGCATTCAAAGTGATTGTATACCCTCACTCCTTTTCGAGATTACATGCGTTTATATTGAATAACGTTAAATTTCACCTTCGAAAACTCGGAAAATCCTTCACAGATCCAGAATGGACAACGATCCGAATAATTTTTGTAGTGTGATGAGGAATCTCAACCTTAATTTTCCCTATGAAATTTGGTACAAATATCGATCATATTTTACAGAATTATTAACCCTAAACGGCGAAAATGCCCTATCTTCCCATTATAGAAACTGCTTCAAAATTATCCAAAATTTGGGGATGAATGCCTCATATTGACTTCCCATCTTATGCAAAATTTTCGTTTACATTCATCTATTACTTTTCGAGATATGAGTGCGGAAACACAGACAGACCCAATTGCAATACCCTCCCTTTCGGGAGCGTATGTAATAACTTTAATACCAGATGTCGGTTATTGTTACGACTGTTGCCTAGATACCTCTTTTAAGCAGCGTTACACAGTTAAACGCACTTTTTATGGCTTAGTACATTGTTGCCCGATGAAGACTCCGGTAAGAGGGCCGAAAGCTCGCAAATAAATGTTTTCTAACGTAGAGAAATTCCATGAATAATTCTACCAAATCAAATAGCCTTATCGTGCTGTGTGATTCCTTCTTCGTCGGGATTCGGTCTACGTTTTGGACCAGGGAGAGTCAAAGTAGACCTCTTCTTCTTATGAGTATTTGGAAATGACGCATTTTATCGGCTGATGCGCTGTGTTCGGTACACGTTTCTGATATTTGTCATTCAAGAGATAGAGTTGAGATAAGCTTACAGTTTTGAAATTTTTATTTTAGTTACTTGTTTAATATTGTTACGTCTCCATTTGTTAATTGATTTCCCGTAAGTTCGTTCCGACGAAACTTTAGCGACACAAGTCCTTACTTAATAAAACTGGTTTATTCTTTCCGAATATAACTTTACGATACACTTAATTTCAACAATCGCGCTAAAACAAACGCTATTACAACGAACGTGCTCAACTTCAATAATACTCTCTGACTGCAGATCAATTACTCACTGTCTACACACACATTATTGTCACGTCACGCCGTGACCATCTTATATATACCAGTCCACCCCCAATCTAGTAAATGCTAGAGCACTCCCGAAGTAACGGGATAGTTCTAGAAAGCAGGTCACGTGACACTAGTCACGTGACCTCGCGTAATATTAAGACTATGTGTAGTATTAAAACTATGTATCTGTAGAGCGTAATATTAAGACTATGTGTAGTATTAAAACTATGTATCTGTAGAGCGTAATATTAAGACTATGTGTAGTATTAAAATTATGTATCTTTAGAGCGTAATATTAAGACTTCTACAGATACATAGTTTTAATACTATACAGTCTTAATATTACGTTCTACAGATACATAATCTTAATACTACACATAGTCTTAATATTACGCTCTACAGATACATAATTTTAATACTACAGTCTTAATATTACGCTCTCCCGATACATAATTTTAATACTACACAGTCTTAATATTACGTTCTACAGATACATAATCTTAATACTACACATAGTCTTAATATTACGCTCTACAGATACATAATTTTAATACTGCACAGTCTTAATATTACGCTCTCCCGATACATAATTTTAATACTACACAGTCTTAATATTACGTTCTACAGATACATAATCTTAATACTACACATAGTCTTAATATTACGCTCTACAGATACATAATTTTAATACTGCACAGTCTTAATATTAC